CCTCAAAAAGTTGACAATTTTTAAAGATCTTAATTTAAAATTTCAATTACTGTACATATAGGGAATAAGTTTATAAAAGGAAGTTAGTTTTCCTTAAAACAATGGTTAAATTGCTTCAGTTTCAATACAGTACTTACATACAAACACGAGGCTAAAGTCTCCTGTAGTCAATTATTACTTTTTTAGTTATCTCCTACTACTGAGTACACTAAAATATTAATGAACTTACAGAATCCAGATAATTCATTTGTAAATGTATTCTTACTATTCCTATACTATTTGGACAAAACAGTAATATCAGAATGTAATGTTTATCTAAATTACTACATATTTTCTGAAGAATACAAAAATAATAGAATACATGGTGATATTAAATAAAGTTTGTTGTAGCACTCAATAGTTTAAAACACAACCCCCCTCCAAAAAAAAAAATCTAGCCTAGTTGGAGAGGCCCAAGCTAACTAAGGAAACTTCTTCCATCCTTAAGAAATCTACATAGTAGGGGAAGACAGGACTAGAAGTATAAGATTCCATTTGCAAATCAGGCTGTGAGGCAAAAGAGAAAACAGTTTGATGACTATATAGTATAATAAAGAAAAGAAAGAATATTGGGCTGTAAGAGATGGGCCTTCACCTGGACTTTGAATTAAGACAACAGAAAAGAAGAACCACGATGATGAAGGTACTTAAGGGATTTAGGGGAGAGAATATGCTCCTATCACCTTAAATTCAAACAGTGCCTTGTAATTTTCAAAGGATTTTAAAACATCTGATTAGTACAGTAACCTCTGGCTAGCGGTGCATGTTATTTATGACATTGTCCAAATTTAGAAAATGGAGTGATCCATTTTAACTGAAAGCAATCAGTTAAAAATAAACATAGGTGCTCTGACTCCCTGTGAGGTAATGATTAAGTTGTGATTTCACTAATCTCCTCCCATTACTAGAGTCTCAGAAGCACTCCAAGTTCTCTGATGCAACAGGATATGAAAACCAATGAGCACAACTAAATAAAGCAAGGACTCTACATCGTAATTAGACAGAGAACAGAATTATTAGTCATTACAAGGAGTTTAAACTTCATTTAGAAGTTTGCAAATGACTAGGTTGAAATTATAAAAATGTCATTCTCTTACAGAAGTCAATAAAAATGGTATAACTAATGTACCATCAAGGTACATTTAATTCCAAGAAGACCTTCTTAGAGCACTCCATTCCACTCTCCAATGTTATGTGAACTTGAGTACTAGGAGGATGGGGAAGAGTTATGGTCTTAAAGAGAGTAGCCTTTAAGTCACATATAGCATAACCATCTACATGAAAGCAGGGGTCCATCTCTGGGTTGTTCATTAATATCATGCAATTAGAACAATTTGTACAATGTATGTGCTCACTATTCATGGAGCAAACGAATTAATGCTGCTGACAAGCTCTCCTAGACGAATGGCTCCCACATCTCCGGTCTACCCTGACTCCTTTTTAAAATTTTTTATTTATATATTTTTTACACCATCGTACCTTTTTAGTACAATGTTTGATTTTTCTTCTCTGGTGTAGTCCCTGTAAAATTTCCACCACCAAGACATACGTGAATGTCACCATAGTCTCTTGTGCTCTTCCCTCCCATTTTGCTCCTTTTCCCTCCCCCTCCCCTGCTGAATGCATCCTGACTCCTTTCAAGATAATGTCCTACAAACATGTCCAACTCAACATGCCAAAAACAGTTATTTCTATCACCTGAATTTATAAGTCTCTCCACTTCCCTAAACCTACTCCCAATGTCCCTGTTCAGATGCTCTTCATCTAATAATCACTGGACTCCCCACTAGTATGGCTGGTCTCCCTATTACCAGTATCATCCCTCCCATCTGCAAACTGTAGTTGGAGTATTGAGAATGAAGTCAACTTTAAACTTAAAAAATGCTTTCTATAGGCAGCTCCTGCCTATCCCTTACCCCACAGTCTCCAGAATCTGAGATGTATCAGACTTGCCCTGTTAAGTGTGCTCATATTTCTCACCACCACTCCTTGGCATAGATTTTCCTACCTATTATATCTTTTTTCTACTTTTCTGCCTTTACCTTCTACTCTTCCTTTAAGATTCAACCCAAATGTGAGCTTTTTTTATATTCCCCAGAAAGAATAAAGTTATTCTTCCTTTGTGCCTCTTAAAACACTCTGCTATAATAGTAATACATAACTCAATATGGTGATTTTCTTCTCCCCACTTTCAAACTACACACAACTGCAAAGCTGTACAAGTCTCTTGCTCCTACTGCTTAGCAGAGTAAACATACTTGTTAAATATTAGTTAAATAAATAAACATAGTATTCATATAACCACCACACGAGTCATTCTGGAGAGGCTTTTAACAACCAAGAAAATTTCTAATGAGAGCTATTATACTCCTGTCACATTTCTCACAGAACTAATGTCACTTCATTTGGAGGTAAAAGGTACCAATGAGAATCCTTTAGCTCCAGCACTTAAGGCAGTGATTTTTCAACCCTGACTACACATTAAGATCATTTAAAGAGCTTTTAAAATACCAATGCTTAGACACGATCCTCTAAAATCCTAATATAATTGGCCTGGGATGGGATCCTGACACTTTCTACAAATCATAAATTCAACTCAAGATGAGATCCACTCATCTAAAACAAGATAAGCATTCCTGACAGTTTAAATTGAAATAATAGCTTTTCAGGGCTAGTTTGAACATACATGCTACATAGTACTATTTCTACTGGGAAACGTTTAAAATTTCAGACAAATTAAAAATGAATTTGAGAACATAGTTTAGGTCTATTGAAAAAAAGCACACACACACACACAAACTTTGATCCCAAATAAAACACTCAAAAGAAAGTATCTACCAGAATTAATCATTGTTTAGTGCTCAGGGAGAGAAAAGTAATAAATGGTAGTTAAGAAAGTCAAGAAAATTTAAATTTTGAAAGGATGTTTAAATGTGGATTAGGAAAAGTACACAGCAGAACCCAAGTAAAGGGAAAGGCATCTGGGAATGCAGAATGTGTGTAAGAAACTGACCAGAGCATTTTTGTATTCAAAGGCCTGAGAAAGAAGCCTGCATAGATATTCAATCAGCTTTCATTTTCTCCCCTGAGTAGATATCACCCCTCCCATTCCAGATAAAATATTGAGACTCTGGAAAGTTCAAATCCCAGAGCCAAATGAGGAGGGAATCACACTCAAGCCTGAAGCCTGAATGACTTTAAAGCCAAGCCCCTCTCTATCATCTCACATTACTTCACAAAAGAAACTGGAAAGAATGATGAGAGCATTGAATGGTAAACAAAGCAAAAACTAATAGAGCTGCAGGTTTTTAAGCCTACAAATAATAGAAGGGGTAAAATACCACTCCAGCAAATTAATCTGGAAGTATACAAAACAGGTTGAAGGAGAGATACTAAAGAACACCAATTGCTTCCACAATAAACCATGTAACAATATAGCTAAAACACTGTAGTCTGTACTAGTAGTTTCACACTTGATTTTCACTACTTAATAAGCTCCACATACTCTATTAAATACTTAGCAGATTCTTGACTGTCCATTGTAAGCCATCAAGAAACTGAAATTACACCAATAAATAAAAATATCAGATGTTTGCCTACATATAACATCTATAAATTTCAACATTATTTAACAACTGCATGGAGGTTACAGCCTTAACTAGAAGGACTACTTACAGTCTTTTACCCAAAGGGCTATTCAATTAAACATCACTCATCACTGAGTGTCTCCAACCAAAACTCCAAATAGTTTCTTAGTAAGTAAAAATTCAAATTTCTTTGCTCTCCATATGCTTCCTTTTACCATCTCATCTAATGTCCTGTTCACGCCAGCCTCCTCACTGTTACAGAGTAGAATATACTACGCTGGAGTTGTTTGGCTTACTTCCCAAACTGGATATACCTCTTTTCAGTCTCTCCTTCAACTGCAAACCAACAATGAAGGCCCAGCTCAAAATCTAGTATTCTCCACAAAGCCTATTTCTGAAGCCTGCATGATTTCAAACAGATTCCAAACTTGTGACTAACAGAACCCATGTGACTTGTGTTTAGTGGAGATTTTTTTTTTTAAATAAACGCTTATCCCCCAATGACAATATTTGAAAACTGTATTTCACTTTAAAAACAAAACAAAACTGTATTTCCAACTTTCCTTTAAAAAACTGATGCTCAATTACAGTCTCACAAAGCCAGAATCAACTGAGTCCTTTCACAAGGTTGTAATATTTTTTAAAGTCAGGAGATGATATGTTAAGTACCCCTCTTCTCACAGCAGCTGCAATCATTCATGAAATACCTGACTCTCAGGAGGTACCTTGAGGTACAAACAATAAGCAAACAAAACAAATTCAGTCCCCTCCCACCTCCTACCTGAGTAGGAGGGGGTACGAGTAGGATACCTGTGTTAAATTCTAAGTAAAGAGTATTTAGCATATGGCAAGGGTACCTAACTGCGTAGGAGATATTAGGAAAAACCCCTCAGAGACAACGACCGCTAAACTGAGATGTTCCAGAAGGATTAGGAATTCTCCAGAATGAGATAGGGAGAGGTCAGAGAAATCAAAAGCGGCAAAGAGAAGAACCTTTGTAAAGACCCTGATGGGAGAAAAAAAATTTTTCAGCCAGTGAAATCAAGTTCAGTAGTGACAGTGACCACCCAACTTTAAAGGAAGGTGTCAGAGAAAGGGTTCAATTAAAAGGGAGGAGAGGAAAGCCACGTGGTTAGCTGGAGTCAAGACAAAAAGAGAGAATTTCTGTAGTAAGGTGATTGAATATGTAAAAGAAAATTGTTAAGCGGGGAATTAGAGATTCTAGGCCACACAGTGTTAAAAAGCGCGTTAGGAGGCACAATATTGAAGAAAAGGAGGGAAGCAGCAGCGATAGCCTAAATAGCCTAAACCCAGACGGTGAAGCACAACGCAGCAGGAGAACGAGGGGGGAGCATAGAAGACCAAAGGGCTTACATCTTGGGCGGTAACCAAGGATAACGGGGATGTGAAGCATGGCAGTATTGGCTGGCCACAAGTTTGCCAAGAGAATTTGTCCCAGCGGTGCCCTGGCGGACGCAGAGGCATTCAAGCCTCTCAAAATTCGGCTGCCCCCTGGCTGGATTGCACGTCCGTCTCGCTAGACATCGGCTTCAGTCTGGATTCATTGTGCAGGCTCCAGGAGAGGCTCTGGGTTCCAGGCTGCTGGCACGCAGGCTCCCAGGGAGTGGGTAGAGGCCTGGTCTGTATGTGCAGGTGGGTAGAATTAAGTATAAACTACCGTGCATCACTTTCTGATTTTTCTGTGGGGATGACGGGCCTGTTTACAGCCTCTTAGAGGAAAAGGAGTGTGTGCCCGTTAGGAATTTACAGGGAAAAAAAGAAGTGCCACGAAGTCCAACATTTGTGCTTCCGATACGCAAGATGAGCCGTTTTGTGACTTCAATTCTCCCCAGCCGGCTTTGTGTCCCCAACTACACTGAGATATCCGCCAGAAAAAGGCCCGTTTCACACTTTTTTTCCCCCACAAAGTGCCTAGTATCTAACTGGATACGTCGAACACATTCAGTAAACTGACCGACTTTCTAACTGATTTCGGGTCACTGAAGTGATCTAGTTCTGCGCCCCCTTTGGCATATTAACACGCTCAGGAGCAGCAAGCCTACACCTCAGCCTCAACAGTTCCCTTTATTCCAAACTCCACTACGTCTCTCCACCCTCCACCGCAGGGACAGAACTGCTGCTCGATTCAAATGCAGCGGGAGACTCCGGGTCCCGCCACCGAATTCGCAGCCCTCGCGCCCTCGGCCCCGCCCCCGGTACGGCAGCCTGCGCGCCCGTCCCAGGCCACCTCTCGGAAAGGTAAAATGCGCTCACCGACTCTGGGCCGCGGGCAGACCCCGTAAAAGTAGTTGCCTGCTAGTCGCCGCGCTCCCGGCCGGCACTTCCGGCGCGCGCGATGACGTCGTGGCACGCCCGCCCCAGGCCCGCCCCCGCGGCCCGCGTCTCGCCGGAGCCAGGAAGAGAGGCCGCGCTGGGCCCGTCGGCTCGGAGGCGCCCGACCCCCTCCCAGGACCCGTGATGCCCGGGCCGCGGCGCGGGGCGAGGAGCCCGGCTTGAGTCCCCCGGAGCCGAGCGCTCGCGCCCTCGCGCCCTCCCGGGCCCGCCCCACCTGAAGGTAAACGCCTCCCCGACCTCCCCGCGGGCCCCCGCCCGGACCCGACCCCGACCTCCCCCCTACCCCCCACCCAGGGGCCGGCCCTGCGCTCGCGTTTCTCGCCGGGACGGCGCCTGTGCGAGTCGTCTCGAGTGGGAAACTTCTAAGAAGCGACCTATGTGGAGTTCTTTAAAATGTCTGAATAAAAAAAAAAAAAAACCCGTATATCCCAGCTATCGAGCAGTTTCTCAGGACTTCGAATTGGCGCGCTTTACAATGAATTTTTGTTATTTGTGATAATCCTGTATCCCTAGGTCAGTGACTCACCACACATTTTTTACCCTTTTTTTAAATAAAAATGTGGACTTGGTGGAGTCCTATGTAAATTTGACGGATAATTTGGCTGACTTTTTAAAGTACGGTAGGAAAATTAATTAGAGGTTATATTTGTAAACTAAATTATGTGGTGGTTACCAGAGGTCGGGGAGACGGAGGTCGAAGCAATGGGGTGTGTTTAATAATGTGAATGGCACTAGAACTTTGGGGGTGGGTACAGTGAGGTACACATGTACTCCCGAAACTTCTATATAGATAGTATTGTAAATCAAGGTGAGCTGATAAATTTTATTTTTCTTTAAAAAAGGCCCTTCTAGAAAAGCTCATGTTTCACTTGAAAGAAGTAATAATCGAACTGTTAAAAATCGGCATTTTATATGCGTTTTATTACAAGATTCAGTCAAAGGAATGAGAAATTCATTGAAGATTAAAGACAGATCAAACATTGATTTTCTACAAAAAGTGCTAGACTGCTTGATGTGCAAGGTCTCGGTGCCTTGTATTTATAAATATGGCATGTTACTGTAATAATTTTCAATCTTAAAATGTTCTCTTTGTCCACTGTTCATTTGAATAATTCTTAGAAAGTTTTATAACAAAGAAGCTAAAAATTAATAACCAATCTAAATTAATGTGGAATAAATACATAAATACACATATAGAGTAGTATCTTTCAAAACACTGAAACCTATTCGTATAACAAAATGTTTCTTTTCAAATTTAACAGTAATAAGCAAAATTAGTGATCGGAAAGAAATACCTTCAAAATGGAAAACTAAAATTCCCTTTTAATGCCACCCAAAGAAAATTATAAAGACAACCAAAAAGGTTCAATGGTATTATTGGAAATCAGTGAGATTCTTTCTGCGTTCCCAGGCTCTTTCTGACGTGGGTAGACAGAAAACATTTTACTGCTCTCTGCCTAAGAAGAATTTAAGAACAGCCTCAGAGTTATCTGTTTTAAAAAACTCAGCTCTATTCACAGCATAGCCTCACACTGAAAGGATTGATCTAAAAAATCTGCTTGAAAGAAGGATCAGAAAACTCTTTCAAGTAGTGTTAGGGAAAAGAAACTTCTTAATTAACCCAGCTGGAGTGATTCTTCCTAACTATCACTAAAGAGTAAGGCATATGCATAAATTTAGCATAATTCAGTCAGTGATAGCCAGTATTGGTTTTTAACTTGGAATGAAGAATATCTGATTTAGATTGCATCTGGGTTTGTTTCCTTTTTAGAAATGAGTGGTGGACTGGCCCCAAGTAAAAGTACAGTGTATGTATCTAATTTGCCCTTTTCCCTGACCAACAATGATTTATACCGGGTAAGTAAGTACTATCTTCTATTTGAAATACAGATGTAGCTTGAGCATTCAATTTTCCTTGGCAAAATTCTTAATCAGGACATTGCAACACTCTTGACACATCCATAGCAATGATTTCTGTGGCAAACATGAGTAAGTGAAAAAAATTGACACTTGTGATTCCCAAACAGAATTTGCTGTCCCTTTATAAAGAATAACGAATAACAAGTATATAAACACAAAAGATAAAAGCTAATTTAATGAAATGGGAGCAAGTGAGTGATAGGCTGATTTTTTTCTTGCTTTACTTGACTTTTGAAACTGCTTTTAGTAGTAGTGATTTTGGAAAAGGTTGATGGGAGGAGACAGATCCCTTTCCAAAAATTTTGTTTTTAATTCAGGATACATTTGAATGCAAGGGGAAAAATTCCTTCAAACATCTACTTTCACTTCTTTACCTTCCAGACAACAAAATTTCCTGCAGTGCCTGTCCTGCAGAGGGTGATTGAAAGGAACTGGAAGGAATGGCCCGAACCTTTCTTCCAAGTGTGCCCTCTTCCCTCTGCTACTGTGGGCAGATGTTAGGTAGAGAGAGGCTGCAGAGTGACACTCGGTACCTGATAGATTTAAGGTAATTTGAGTTTCAAAGATCAGAAGGAAATGTATTTCAGCTTTTTTCCTTGTACCAAAATAGAGACATTTCTGTATTTAGTGAACATTTCCTATATACACAGCACTCTTGCAGGTACTCAAACATATTGGTGAAGAAAAAATAAACCCCCCACCTTTTTACTCAAAATATGGCAAGATAGAGAAACAATGTAAAATATAAAAAAGTTACAGTATTAATGCTAAGATGTTAGATGCTAAGGAGAAAAACAATAAAGCAGGAAAAGATTATTAAATGTAAAGTTGAAAGTAGAGGTGAAATTATAGATGGGTAGTCTAAAGCTCTTATTGAGAAAGTAGGTTTTGAATAAATACCTGAGGGAAGTAAGAGGCAGTTACAGATGTCCAGGGAACAAACATTTCATGTACAGAATAAAACAAGTGGAAGGAACAGAAGAGTCAGTCAGAGGCAAGTCCTTGTAAGCGCACCTTTAAGGACCCATATTGATAATGGGAAGGCCTTTTAGTGAAATGAGAAGGTATTAGAAAGTATTACATTGAACAATTATTGTTCTTCAGAATTCAGTGTTGCTAATATTGCAGTACAGGTATACTACATTCCTGCATTATACAACTTAATCATAGAACACAAATTAATACTGATTTTATATATTAATGTATTCTGAAAGACTTCTAAGAAGCATTATGTAATAGGAACTATTAGTCAATACAATAGATAGTGACTGAAACATAAACGAGATTTGCTTAGGTTGAAGATATAGAAATGAAAGGGAAGAAAAGGACTAAGTATAAAGTACCACCAGCGTATTGAGGCTGGAGATGAGAAAGAAACTGACGGGAGGGCCTCCCTGGTGGTGCAAGGGGCTAAGTCTCGGCACTATGAAGCTACCTGCAGCCACTGCAGCATGAGTTCGATCCCTGGCCAGGGAGGTGACCCACACGGTGCAGCAGACCTGCCTCACCTGCTGTTCCCTCAGCAATGTATTTCTGTCAGTCTGCCTGTTCTGCTTCCCACTCTGTCTCTGGTGAATCTTCTCACCCCGCTGCACCTCTGGACTACACCCCAGCTCTTGTATGCATAAATAAATAAAATAAATCTTAAAAAAAAAAAAATTGATGGGAGTGTTTTTTTGTTGTTGTTATTTTTCTTTTTAAAGATTTATGCATACAAGAACCGGGGTACAGGCCAGAGGTGCAGAAAGGTGAAAGGATTCACCAAAGATAGTGGGGAGCAAAACAGGCAATTGACAGAAATCCACTGCTGAGAGGAGCAGCGATCAAAACAGGAGAGGTCTGCTGCACTATGTGGGTCAGCATCCTGGTTGCGGATAGCTTCGTAGTGCTGACGCTTAACCCCTTGCGCCACCAGCGAGACCCCAGATGTGGATTTTTTATTAGAGAAGCTGTTTTGTTTTATAAGTAGTCTTAGAATCTATCTCCTGAAGCAGTTACTGCTTAATGGTATAAAGGTAGACTAGGAATCGTGGTATTTTACGTCAATATTTCAAGTGCAAGGTTTCTTTGGAGCTGTGGTGGGTTGCTGGTTACCAAGAGTATTCCACAGGAACACAACAGCTGTGCACTGGGTGTGCCTTCAGCCTACCACACTTACGGAGTGGCTCGGCTCGCTCCTCTCCTTATTCTCTTTTGTAGCAAATGTGGGAACTGAGGCAGATAGTTGTAACTTCAGAACAAAAATAAGAGTAATATTCTAATCGCTAAAAAAATATATCTCCTAGGGGCTGCCTAATAGACCAAAGTTAAAAATTTTATTAACTATAACAATGACAGTATATACAACCTGAATAGTTAATGTTATA